AGAAAGTGTTGAGATACTTGCAAGGAACAATAGACCACATGCTCATTTATAGGAGATCTGATAATTTGGAGGTCACATGATACTCAAATTCAGACTTTGCTGGATGTATGGATACTAGAAAGTCCACATTTGGCTATCCGTTCCTCTTAGCTAGAGGGACTATATCATGGAAAAGTGCGAAACAATCGGCCATTGCTACATCCACAATGGAAGCTGAGTTTGTGGCATGCTTTGAGGCCACAGTTCAAGGAAATTAGCTGCGAAACTTTATTGCAGGGCTTGGAATTGTCGACGGTATTGCTAAGCCACTGAATTTTATTGTGACAATTTTGCAGCAGTCTTCTTTTCAAAGAATGACAAGTACTCTAAATGTACTAAACGCATGGAATTGAAATACTTTGCCATTAAAGAAGAAGTTAAAAAACAAAAGGTGTCAATCGAGCATATTAGTACCAATCTTATGATTGCGATCCACTAACAAAAGGATTGCCACTTAAGATATTTAATAAACATGTCGAAAGAACGGGCATTATTGGAAATGATTATGGAATCTATGCAATTGACACTTTGAGCTCGTTTATGTATTGTTTTTTACAAAATATTATTCCTATCATAATAGTTAGTATATGTATGTAAATGGATTATATGAATGTTGACAGGGATAGTATTTTCAAAAACATTATTGAAATGTACTTATCGAAATTCTCATTGCATGTCATGTTAGGTATGAACTAATATTGTAGTACATGGAAGGAATTTTGCCGAAATGATGGTGTAAAACCGCTATGACACTTATTAGTTTTTACTTAATGATGATATATTAAGTGACCAATGTATGTGGAATCTTAATTTTTCATATGCGCATTATGTTATAGGACACATAACGATATAATATTACATGGATCAAGTGGGAGAATGTAAGACCAATTAATGTGGCCCAAGTAATATTAATAATAAATTAATTAAAGTGATTTATTATTATTAAAATTCTATTGGTCTATTGAGAAGTGACAGTTTTTTCTATAACTATCCACTTTGATAAGAGTTTTTTTAATAGTTTTCTACTTTGATAGAAAGTGGATAGTTTTTATGGCCCATGAAACTGCCCCTCTCTGCCTATAAAAGTGAATACACCCATCAAATTAATTCATTCAATTATAGGGAGGAAAAGAGAGAGAACGGTTTCTAGATTTTACTAGTTTCTATTTTGCAGGTTTAAATCTTTCAATTATTGCTATGAATAAATGTATGTTTCTTGATCAATTAATCCATATGTGAAAATCATGAATTCTAAATATCTTGGTATTAGGGTAATATAATTGCTTACATATCATTCACAAGAAGATCAAGTACTCAATCTGATTCTAGTTAATACTAACTTTAATTGAATAGAAAAATGTGATTGACTGGTTTATGAATAATTATCTAAATACTAAAGTATTGAATAACTAAGAAGAGCTTTAAAGTCGATTAAAGACTAGCACTAGGACTTTGAATATCCCTTTATTAATCCGTTTTCATAGACAATGTCAAACTGGTTTAACTTGATGATCAATGTTTCTAGTTTATTTAGCAATCTCTTATATCTTTGTGAAGGATGAGAATCTGTAATAATGCATAAAAATACAAGAACATTCAATTAAATCATGCAAGACAAATCTTTATATCTCTACCCCTAACATGCAGATAGTTATCTATGTGAAGTCTCTGCATTTGATCTCCAATGTGTTGTTCTCTTAACAAAATATCAATGTGTCCATTTAAATGTCACTATATTATAGTTCCCAAGATCAATTACTGACTTCATTAGCGATAAATGCAACATATGTTGATATATCCGTAATAACAATATACGTATCTCATCATTACTTATAATAATAGATAATTTAAGATTTAGTCATATGTAATTTGTATATAACAATTAGCAATCCTTGTGATTAACAAGTTACCAAAATTTGAATCTACAGACTCTATCAACTTAATTTATTAGAATAATAATTCAATTAAATAATAGATTTGCTATAAGTAATGTTGGATCAATTATATCAAAAGTGTTTACATCTAAAATCGATTGAGTTTAGGGCACAATACTTACAGGTAATGCCAATCGAGATGAGTGGTTGCATTTTTGCTTCGGTCGAGGTGGTAGTGTGTGGCTAGATGCAGGGATTGGTAGTTAAGGCATAGGGAAGGTGTGGCGGGGATGCATTTTCTTCATTTTTATTTATGTAAAGAGAATTGAAAAAAATTCATTTCACTTAACTTTAACTGTCAAATT